CCAGCCACTGGAATGCTGATGCGTGGATGCCTTTTGGTCCCGGTTGGAGCCACCAACCGGGACCAAAGCCCCCCTGCCTGGGCTCGGCGCACAGGGCCACGTGGAGGCACATTGGTCCCGGTTCGTGTTTGAACCGGGACTCATGGGTGGAGGTATTAGTAACGACCCATTAGTCCCGGTTCATGAACCGGGACTAAAGGCCCTTACGAACCGGGACAAATGCCCTGTTTTCTACTAGTGGTGATGTCCGTTCAGCACTAGGATCATCGGTGATTTGGATCACGACGAGTACGACTCCCTCAACCCCGTTCTCTTGAACGCTTTCGCTCGCGATCTACAAGGGTATGTAGATGCACTCCTCTCTCTCGGTACTAGATGAACTCATAGATTGATCTTGGTGAAAGCGTAGAATTTTTTTTATTTTCTGCAATGTTCCCCAACAAGAGGGTCATTCTCAATACCAGCGAAGCACGTCACGATGGATCTATCTAATGTTCTTCACTTTGTACCGCCTATATAATGTATTTATGACTATCATTGAGATAATCATTCATAAGCTTCTTAGAACACTTTGTATTATTACCAGGCAACTATCTGCCAGCAGTAGCTACTCATTTCATAAGCTACAATAGGTATCTACATACTAATGATCACTCACTCTATTAGTACTTGGTTTGCTCTCGCCCTTTGCGACATCGTTGCAACGGGTCATCTAGCATGAACAAAGGGTAAGCATATGCTTTCACCTTCAAATGCACTTCCAAGGGAGTGCGCTTGATCATCTACCCAATATAAGCAAGTTACAAGATCCTCTTGTTATATAACTTAGTATTAGTATAGATGCCTATCAAGACTTCTATGTTTATCGTCCTTTTGGATCTTATATGTAAACCCCTAAGATCATCCTGTGCATTTAGCTATCGGTTATTTGCTGCTTAAACTACTGTGTGGTGTGCTTTTGAAAGAACCATGATAAAAGAAATATATGCTTTCGCCTTCAAGTGCACATCCAAAGGTCTCTGCATAATTGTCTATCGAATCTAAACAGATCACAAGAGTCCTTTCCTACATGACTTAGTGCATCATTTCCAGTCTTATGTACTTACTGCATATAGTATATGAGCTATTCTTTTCAAACAACAATATGTTAATGCACGCTCTCACAATAATTAGCTCACACTTGGCCTTTGCGCCATTGGCGCAACGGGTCATCTAGTTGGTAGAGTGGTTGGCCACGTCCTGGACGTGGGCGTAGGAAGTGAACCAGGGTGTTTTGCCTTGGCGTGTTAGCTGATGTATTTATACTCTGTATATGGAATGAGAAAAGAGGACGCCGTGAGGACAGGAGAAAATATGTAGCCTCTAGTTTTCACCGAGGGGCGCCTCTAGGCAAAGCAGCAGCTGGCCTTCTCCCTTGGTGTATGTGCGTGCGTGTGTGTGTGTGTGTGTGTGTGTGTGTGTGTGTTTTCTTCATGATGTGTGTTCTTGAAAGAAACCATAGAAGAGAGAAGTGAGAGCTGTGCATCAAAGAGGGAGGACTCTCTTTTGCTAAAAATAATAAGAAAAAAATAGCTAGGGAAAGAGCGGTTATGAAAAATGGAAACCATCACACATCGTTTGTATTTATTTTTTCTTTCTGAGGTAAGATTATCTGTGTTGTAGCATGATAACATTTGCCGGCATGCCATGGAATCCCAAGAGCGAGCATGCTCAGGATATGCCTACTCCAGACTGCCTGAAAATTCAAAGACCGCAGAACTATCCATCTGCATTTCATAATCATGTTTCCATTACCTGAAATACGAACAGGAAAGCGCACAGAAGAGAAGCGCGCAACCCATGACCGGTTATCATTTAGTGGTTGACATACCAGTTCGAACAAGAAATCAAACTGTATACTGCAGCTAATGTGAACCGAAGGCGATAAAAACAGAGAGAATTGATGGCATGATGTTACCAATGAACACTACACCACCGCGCACACACACACTGGTAATAATCTGACACAACAGGAAGATTTCGTGATCGTCGAGCAACGAGCACTCACGCCTACACCGCGGCCTAAACGATTGTGCCTGTGAAGTATCGCGGCAGGCGAGCACGCTGAATGACTGAAACATATCGTCTCCTCAGTGGAAGCTTGATGGTGCGGCCATCTTGGTGTCTTTCTCCTTGCCACCGTCGTCGATGTTGCACACTGAGTATAGTAACAGTACCCGGAGAGCGTAAGGACTGGGACTTTTTTTCCTTTTGTTAGGTCAAAGCGGAGGTGATTTTAATGGTGGCAACGATGGGTAATTTGTTCTAACTTTGAGTATAACAACAGTACATCTAGGATATAGGTTGTGATTTTTTGTCTTATTAGGCTAGATGTTTCTAAATTTTGTGGGAATTTCTAGCCTGTTTTCTTATTTTTGACCCATATTGTGCTTTTAGTATGTAATAGATACACTAATTGTGTCATTGCATCACATCAAATCATGCATAAATAGAATAATAAACTGGGTGCAGCGTGTAGATAAACATAAAGATATATATGCCACTTATTATTATAGTCTCTTACATAGCAGGGCCGACAAGCCAAATGTTTGGATAATGAAGTAGAAGTAATTAAATACTCAAGTTACAAATAACGTGACCTTATGATGCCCTAGAAACCACAGACAACTACCAAACATGTATTACCACACATATGCAAAGGTACGTCCATGCAAATACATGTTGATGGACATATGGCATGCATATCTCAGTTGCTTTCCAGATGACGTCTCTTATAGTTTACCAGCACTTTCCCTTTAGGCTCTAACATGAACTTGCTCCAATCTGTCTTGGGAAAAGGAGAAGTGAGTTTGAGTTCAAAATTTCTCAGCAAATGGCTCCATATAATTTTAATTTGCAAGAAAGCATAGGCCTCCCCGGGACAAACATGGCTTCCACCGCCAAATATTGCGTATGAGAATTTACCACCAACTTTATCCTCCTCTCTTCCAGGACGAAAACGGTATGGGTCATACACTTCAGGGTCCTTGTAAATGTGTGATAACTTACTGGTTAGCATTACAAGATTTACTAAGGTGTCACCTTTCGGGATGCCATATTCAGTTCCTTCTTTTGTCCTCACAGTGATATTCTTTTGTGTTTGGCGAATCAAACCTAGTGTCGCTGGATGCATGCGTCCTGCCTCTTTGATAGAACTATGCAATGTCTCCATCTTTGACAAGACATTATAGTCTATCTTGTCCTTATATTTTCTCATTATTTCCCTTTGCTCTTCCACAACAACATCTAAAAACTTTGTATGGGTCAATAGGCAAGCTCCTGTCCAGGTGGATACAATTGAGCTTGTGTGTTTTCCAGCAAATATCAATGCGATGATCATCCCGGCGACCGCCGCTTCTGTTGTACGATGACCGTCTTTATACCTAGAGTCCATCAATTTCTGGAGGACATCTTGCTCGACACGGCCGCATGTCTTTCTTGACCTCATAATATCATAAACAATCTCTATAAGTCTGATTCGTGCTTTGTCTCGTCGGTGGTTTGCCGGAACAGGGAAATATGGGAGCATGAAACTCACCAAGTTCACCCCCCCTTCGATTCCACTAAACAATGTGTAAATCTCACCAAATAGCTTTTCTCTAACCTCATTTCCAAGTAAGCATTGACTTGAGATCAACATGAGTATCTGGTTGAGCTCATCTTTCAGATCGACTACCCCCTCTTCTCCCCATTTCGCAAAGTAGTCTTGTGGAAAATATATAGCATGCATTATGACAACGCCGGCTAGTTGAATTAACATATATAGCAAATTAGCATGCACCACGAGTTTGTCTACACATATAATATCGTGAAATACCATAACGTTCTAGGGAAGGCTTGAATAATGAGCGTATTGTGCAATCGTGTTCATGCTAATGAACTACATGTAACACTACTACGAAGGAAACCAATTTTTTGTCAAATTAATATTATTCTTTCAAGTACAATAATTTCATATGGGAACATGTCTGTATCCATGTTTCAAAGTTTCAACAATGTTTCCAAAATTTTGGTAATTTCATGGGTACCAAAATACTTGTTGCCACATAAATTTATACTATATTCAAACCTAATTCAAATTTTTAGTAAATTAAAGTAACTTTAGATGAAATAATTATGAAGTAAAATCTGGATTTTATAAAAATATGTGGTACCAAAATTCTAAACCCTGCCCCTACCAAATATCAGGGGAAATAAGTAAATACATCTAAGGAAGGAACAATGTATCTAATTATTAATACTGTATCACCTTTGTTTTGATAGTTGTTTTGTTACAAGAAATGATTTTTCTGATAATTTTTATTGTTTTATTTTCATATCATTTTGCGATAGCATCCAAATTTCTGTGTAAAATACACCGACATATAAGGACAAAGTGGAAAAAAAGTATTGTATCTGTTTGTTTATTTATGTATTGTACCCTTCTATAAACCAAATTTGATGAACATGGAGACTAAACTAGTTTTATCTATAGCACTTTTTCGACAAATAGTAAACTTTATTTACTCAATATGAAGTATCAACTGGATTTATCTATGGAACGTATGTACTGCTCTAAATTGTGTAGATTTCATGATAGTTGTAGACCTATAAGAAATATAAACACTTTTTCCAGAATACATTGATTGTTTACTAGAAAAAAAGCGATCAAAGTTCATTGTTTTTTTCACTAACAAACAGTTTTTTTAACTTGCAAAAAGTATTAGAATTTTTGGATTGGACTGTAGACGAATTTGTCATAAAAAGTCACACCACATACCTATTCTTACAAGTTCTGCTTACATATTCACAATAACATATGGGCTCAAAGTTGCTCTCTTGAGACTTAGCAAAGTGAGAAGCATCATCTATTTAGAAATGGATAGAATCACATGAAGTAGCAAATTAGGTTCCTTAATTATTAATTTTTTAGCATACAAACTGACTTTGTTGATTATATTAAACAAACTACAGGACATTGGACAGAACAGACTGCAACAAAAACGAAATCAGAGTCAAAGTTGCTCCCATTCAAAATTTCAAAGCAAAACAAGTCATCTATTTAGAAATGGCTATAACTACTAAGGTTGGTTATTTGATAGTACTGCATGGATTAATTTCAACTTATGTTCAGAAATCCAATAATGTGAGGAGGCACGATGTCTAATATATCCTTACCTCCACTTCACGAAGCATGGGGTCAACATGGCTCCTCAGCTGCGATGGCCTTAGAGCGTCAATGAAGAAGTGAATCTCCTGGATTCGGGTGCTGTAATCTACGGCAAATCCGTTCTCCAGGCCAAACATGGGCACAGTGAACTCAAACGTATTACCTTGGGAAACCTCGGACTCCGAACCTTGAAAGAAAAGACCAGAGACCTCTGGCCCAACCAAGAAGCTTATTCTTTTCCAAAGAAAACTTATTGTGAACACACTACCAAACTTGTTATATAGATAGGTCATTGTAACTTCGGGGCCCTTTGTACACAAGGTAGGTAAGAGTTTTAGGAGAGCAATTATATTGAGCATAGGTGGAGGTGATCGTGTACACCCTGGATCGGAGGTAACTCTTGCATTTGCAACCTTAATGATTATTGCAGTGATGAGAAAAATAGCTAGGAACAACCACATGGCGTCAATTGTCAAGTCCATGTTGCTATCGTCCATAGTTTCTGTCGGTACTGCAAGAACATGAAAATCATGAGTACAAAGCTAAATGTTTTGTTACTACTCGATAAACTTCATGAGTGTGTCTTTAATCAAAAAAAATATGTTTTGAAGGAAAAGTATAAGAGCAACTCTAGCAAAGTTGCGATATATGTGGTCACCAAAATGCATACGGAGGCTAGCTAGGCGACGCGCAAACTCAGGATCGCCATGTCTCCGCCTGCAAAATTTGGGACTGATACGTCCCCGACATATCTATAATTTTTTATTGTTCCATGCTATTAAAGTATCAATCTTGGGTGTTTTATATACATTTACAAGCAACTTTATATTATTTTTTGGGACTAACCTATTAACTTAGTGCCCAGTGCCAGTTGTTGTTTTTTGCTTGTTTTTGGTTTCGCAGAATATCAGTACCAAACGAAGTCCAAATGCCACAAAACATTTTGGAGATTTTTTGGACATAAGGGACACTAGAAGCTTCGGGAGAAGAACAGACGAGGGAGCATGGGCCCACGACCAACCAGGGCGCGCCCTGATGGGTTGTGGGGCCCACAGAGTTCCCTTTGACCTAACTCCGCCTCTATAAATACCCATAAATCAAGAAACCAACAGGGGAGTCCAAGAAATACTTTTTACGCTGTCGCAAGCTTCTACTCTCGAGAGATCCCATCTGGGAACCTTTTTTGGCACTCTGCCGGAGGGGGGGATCGATCACAAAGGGGTTCTTCATCAACCTTGCTGCCCCTCCGGTGATGTGTGAGTAGTTTACCACAGAGCTATGGGTCCAGAGTTAGTAGCTAGATGGCTTCTTCTCTCTCAATGTTTCTCAATACAATGCTCTCCTTGTTGTTTTTGGAGATCTATTTGATGTAATGACTTTTTGTGGTGTGTTTGTTGAGATCCGATGAATTGTGAGTTTATGATCGGATCCATCCATGAATATTATTTGAGTTTTCTCTGAACTCTTTTATGCATGATTAATATAGCTTCGTATTTCTTCTCCGATTTATTGGCTTGGTTTGGCCAACTAGATTGATTTATCTTGCCATGGGAAGATGTGCTTTGTAATGGGTTCGATATTGCGGTGCTCAATCCCAGCGACATAAAGGGACATGACACGTATGTATCGTTTCTATTAAGGATAAAAAGATGGGGTTTATTCATACATGAGTGTATTTTGTCTACATCATGTCATCTTGCTTAATCCATTACTCCGTTTTTTCATGAACTTAATACACTAGATGCATGCTGGATAGTGGTCGATGTATGGAGTAATAGTAGTAGATACAAAATCGTTTCAGTCTACTAATCTTGGACGTGATGCATATGTATGATCACTATCTTGGATATCGTCATAATTATTTGTTTTTCTATCAATTGCTCAACAGTAATTTGTCTACCCACCATATGCTATTTTCTTGAGAGAAGCCTTTAGTGAAAACTATGGCCCCCGGGTCTATCTTTTATCATATAAAAATCCTAAAAATACCTTGCTGCAATTTTCTTTTATTTATTTTATTTTGTATTTTTGTCAGATATATCTATCAAAAGCTATACAATTTAATCTTGCTCGTAACCGTTGAGGGATTGACAACCCCTCTACATGTTGGGTTGCAAGTATTTGTTGTTTGTGTACAGGTGTTGTTTACATAGTGTTGCTTGGTTCTCCTACTGGATTGATAACCTTGATTTCATAACTGAAAAAAATACTTATCTCTACTGTACTGTATCATCCCCTCTTCGGGAAAATCCCAACGCAACTCACAAGTAGCACGGGCCCACTCATCAATGGGACATCCTTTCCCCCCAATCCCCCTTCCAGCTCCATATGAGGAGGGGGCGATATGAAGTTTCCTACGCGCTAAACAGTTTTGTTGGATGTAGTGCACTCCAAAAGTTGGCCTCAAGACAACAAATACGAAGGCTGGGAGACTAGATATGGAGGACACTCCATAATGCATGGCAATAGCAACCCATATGGCGACTCTGCTAACCTCCATACAGGCCACTATTATGGAGCTCCAGAGCGTATGGTAACTCTGCTCGAGTTTCTCTAAGGTTGACCATAAGTAGGAAACCAATTTGTTTATCCCAGGACATGAATACAAGTGACCAAGGCGAACTATCTAATTAATATTTGACTGCCAATATGGCAATACTTCAGACAATCGCTAGTTTCTCAAGTGTCATATCTACTATGCATATTGTATTGATAGTAATTTTACGCATATGGCATATCAATTTCCATAAAAGACGAACCTCGGTAAAATGAAATGTGCTTAGACCAAAATATACCCACAAGTAAAAAATGATAATGCACTAAATTTAACATATTGCCTCAATTTTATAGCTTACTAAGTTCTCCTATGTTCTTTACTTTATCCACCGCACGGTTGAGTTACTTACTTTTAATCACTCTCCATTAATTCAATCACCATTACGCCTTCATTTGGAATCAACTAATAACTTACGGGCACATTACCATGAACTTCTACAAAGGGCAAATGACCATTTCTTCGTCTCTTCGTGGATTGATACCCTTACTTCAGAAAGCAGTAACAACTAAAATATGCACGTCCCTTACAACGAAAAGTCCATTCTGCACCCGAGCTCATATGCTCCCGCATGAACAGTAAAATCGAAAAAAAATCAAAAAAAATTCCAAAAATTCCAAAAAAATTTTAAGATAAACATTGACAAAAGTTCTAAGTGCCTGCAAAAATTCATCATGAAATCACATTCCTGTAAGGTGTGGCAAAAAAACAAATTCAGTGCTTCAAAATGCATTTGAAAGTAGCTTTTTCAGAGTACTATTTTTGTTTTTTTTTTGCCACGCCTTCTAGGAATGTGATTTCATGACGAATTTTTGCAGGCACTTAAAACTTTTGTCAATGTTTCTCTCAAAAAAAAATTGGAATTTTTTGAATTTTTTTTCGATTTTACTGTTCATGCGGGATCATATGAGCTCGGGTGCAGATTAGCCACGTCCCACTTACAAGCCATTAGTTGTCTTCCTAGGGATGTGTTGTTGGCCATCCCCATGGTGTACAATGGTCGTAGCTAGCCCAAGAGGTGTGGCACCCAACCCGGTGACAAACGATGTTGGTGTTCGGCCCTAGGGAAACGTCGGCTGAGCCCATGGCGTGCAGCCGTGGCAGCTAAGTTGTGGGAGCAATTAATAAAGGAGTACTTTTTGGGGAGCCCCCGCAAGGGTTATTTGAGGTGGGATGAGAGTGTGCCACTTGACGCACTTTCAGCCGCCGCACATGTCGCGCTCTGGGCGCTCCCTTCGAGTTTTTTTCACATGAGTTTTCGGCTTTTTAGATGGTTTTTCCCCACTTTTTTGGCTTTTCGGTCTTCCCCGGTCTTTCTTAGGTTTTGGACAAAAGAAATTGTATGTGTGAAAAAATATGTTTTTTTGCCTCCGTGAGAGGAACAGTCGTGCCTCTTGGAAACGAAAAAAATGTGCTTTCTTTTTTCCCTTAGCGAGGGCACGGATTTGCTTCCCCGAGAGGCACAGTCGTGCCTCTCAAAAACGAAATAAAAACATGTTTTTTTTTCCGCGAGAGGCATGGATTTCCTTCCACGAGAGGCACAGCCGTGCCTCTCAGAAACGAAAAAAAATGTGTTTTCTTTTTCTCTTATCCTTGCGCGGGAGGCACGGATTTGCTTCTGTGAGAGGCACGACTTTGCCTCTCATGTTGCGACAAGTGACACACATGCAGTGTGCCATTGGTCGTAACTTGGGGAGGTGGGAGTGACCTTCATAAAAAGTGATCCTTAATTAATGATTTCACTAAGTTGTGAATGACGTGACACAAAGCATGGACTCCGCTCATGTCGAGATTAGTATTAGGGACCCTTTGTATTATTAACCGGTTACTATACGTATATGCAGTGAGATAATCAATTTATGCTCACATTTCATTCTAGCACTGGGGACTCCAGCTCTATCTATACCTATAAGCAATGGACCCTAGAAGCAAATGGAGTAAGTCCGATGGAACACTCAGATTGGAAAATATAAGTATACTGGTAGGCATCGATGATAAAAAGCTTGGAAACTAGTTCAAATCGAACTCAAAAGCAACTAGGCGATCCAACTTTCATTGAAGCAGCTTCCCTGGAACTAGCTGCCATCGTATCAGTTGGTGCCATTTCTTCTCTTGGAGGCAGGGCAATAGATTAAGATTAGGCGGTATGCGAAGGGACTGTAGGGCTTAGGTTGTGGGTGAGCGCAACTTCAATAGGTCGAGGGGAGGAAGAGAAGAAAAAATAGCTATTTCACCTGGTGTCGTAATAACCACTATTTTCAAGTTTGAAGGCATAAGTGCAGCAGAGATCTTCTTTCATTTAAGAAGAAGCCATCGTAAAGAAGAGGAAACAAGGCATTTAAGGGACACTGACTCCTATTATTTTCTCCAGGTCTGCTTTGCCTAAATCGGCGGAGACTTAGCTTATTATGTTTCGGGAGTTTACCTAGCTTAGAGAATAAGAAAATCTATCTCTAAAGGGGGCGGTACAACTATTCTGGGTTAGAGCATCTCCAGCCCCAGAAAGGCCTCCCCAAGCGATTTATTCGCGTCGGCGCCGAAAACACGGCCCAGTCGCGTCCCCAGGAACCCGATTTTTACCGGCTTGGGCCGAAATCAGCGCCGGCTGACCCAACCCGAACCCGACGCGCCGGGCGAATCGTTTTTGGCGCGGAAGGACCACGGGCCCGCCGAGTCAGCGAGATGGGTGCTTCGTCGCCCTCATCGCCTCGGTTCCCACGGGAATCAATGCCAAGGTTGCCGCGCTGCCGCCGTTGGTCAGTCTTGCCATTGATTCCTCACGGGCGACGCGTCACTGGGCGGCGCGCCGACGCCTCCCCTCCTGCGCACGCGTACACACGGGCGCGTCTATATAAGCCGGTGGCCTCCCTCACCTCCGGCCACACCAAGCCCTAGCCGCTGAGCTTTCCCTCTCCCATGCGTCGCCGTCGAGCCATCCCTCTT